ACTTAATTCGTAAAGTTTGAACGAAAATCTGAAATGTCATTCTATATCTTCAAAGAAACAAATAATATGTTTATATAGAGTGGTGACAACCAACCCTAACAAGACTTCCAAATAAATAAAGAAATAAAATCCTAATTAAATACAAAAATTAATTAAAAGAAGAAATCACCATTGTTGACTAATTATAAAATAAGAAAGAACTCTAAATAAAATAGGAAAAACACTCATAAAACTTAAACGGCCCCAAACACGTCAAAACAATGAATTTTTGCCTTGAAAACGATCTCCAATTGGAGTATCCGGTTGATCATGACGTTGAGCTCGAAACGAGATTTTTGTTGATATCTTACAGGCCCCTGTAACTCCTCTCGGATAAAATGTTATGACTGTTTTAAGTTGACATATTCATTTAAGACCTTTGGACCGTACATTTGGGCTTCTGACGCCTAACTCTCCCCAAAAATTCATCTGCTAGACATTCTACGTCATGTGCTAAACATTACTTGTTATTATATTACTTGATAATTTATAATTTATAATTTCCCTATAGAACAAGTAAAAATTACCATTACAAGCATAAAGGACCGGGGATTATAGACTTTGCAATTGAACGAAGTTAATTTATTAGTAATGTGGGGTAAGGTCTTGAGTTTGTGCAACTGAAAACTGGAGTGATCAACTTTATATCAAAACTTACAATTAACAATGTTACCTTTTGTGTTTTGGTTACTAATTAAGATATCATTATGGTAATAAAAGGTTCGTTAACTTAAGTCCTAAACCATGAAAGTAATGAATTAACAAAGCCGTCACATAGATATAGGTGTGTTGAATTTTATTATATAGAGGCTGAATTAAGTTATGTGGAAGCTATATATATGTGTCACTAACAAGCTACTAGTTAACGTGCATACAAAGTTAATGAGAATAGGCCTTAATCTCCATTAATCATCAACTAATTAATTATAGTTAAGTACGTAATCCAGTACGAGTACATAACACTATAATAAAATATTGACTATACTAACTAATTAATTTAGTAAAAAGGCATGCATTTAAATATAATAAAATATAAATAGTCAGCCTAGGCTGTGCATTAGGATTTACCAAAGAAAATACATGCAGGAGCATCTGCAATGATGCTATTTATTTTAAAGAGTTTCTTTAATATAAATAATGAGTATTTTTATTTATTTTTAAATATAAGAACAAAATTTTTATTTAAATCCAATATTTAAATTTTACGAGAGAGATTATGTTTTTTCAAGAAAGAAACTTAATAAGAGAGATAAATTATAAATAAAATAAATAAAAACTTGTAATTTATTATTTAAAATTAGGATAAATAGTGAAGTTTGACTCCCTAACTCTGGAGAATCAAACTCACTCCTTAATTTATATGTAAAGAATAAAGCATATCCAAAGGACTCTTTATATGATTCGAACTCTTTATTATAAAGAGTTTATCCATAGAAACAAGAGTCCAATAAACTCTTTATTCTTTAAATATAAATTAAAGAGTGAGTTTGACTCTCCATATTTAGAGAGTCCAATTTTACTCTTTATCCTAATTTTAAATAATAAATTGCAAGTTTTTATGTATTTTATTTATAATTTATCTCTTCTATTAAATTTCTTTCTTTAAAAAACATATTTTCTCTCCTAAAATTTAAAGAGTCTATTGGATTTGAATAAAAAATTTGTTCATTATATTTAGAAATCAATTAAAATACTTTTTATATATAGGAAGAGTGTTCTCATTGTAGATGTTCTAATAGACTAAGAATTAGTGTGGCGCTGTTTTCTTCGGATTTCCTTTACCAATTAATCTTTCTTCAAATCTACTTTATTCCTTCTTATCCAATGCAAACAACTGTAGATAATATTTATGCTTTTCTGTATAAATAGCTGAACGGTTTCTACTTCATTCCCACCAACTCATCCTAACTATAACCGTCATCAACTTCTTAATTAGCTTATCATCAGATCTCTTTCACTTTCATCTCTTTATTCGGCGAAAATGGCGATCAGGTTCTTTAGTACTCATCTTTACTNTTTTTTTTTTTAATATTTTGATGGGCTTTATTTACAAAATATTGATAAATATATAATTTTCGGTGCAACAATGTGATCAATAATTTTTTTTTTTTTTTCTGGTTTAATCATGTAGAGGGCACAATATAAGATGATTCATATCAAATCTAAAAGGTATGTGTTTTGAGTTATTAGTACATATGCTTGAAAATTATCTTTTTATGTTACTCTGATTAAGAATCACGACAGTTCTTTAAAATTTGAATGATATTAACACAACATAACCGTTACATACTCTCCAAGCATTCAGTAAATTAATGTTTTCTCAAGTTCAAATTGCTTACTTAAACATTAAAGATGTAATATTGACAACCTCATCGATGTCCTCAACGACAATAGTATTCATCTTATGTGGTTACAAGAAACCAGACTAGGGTTCAACTACAGTTAAAGTAGTAGTCGCGATCAATGCTCCAACCATTGTCAAACTACTCAGGGATCGGCTTATGGAGTTGTGGAAACATACAGACTAAAGCCATGTCATGATATTCTAGTCTGTTTGGTATGAGCCGGTCCTTGATTTCTAGTTCAGGACAATTGTGAGTGCAAAAGTTGCTCATCTTCCTTTTGACATATGTCTCATTGCACGAAAATTATATCAAATTATAACGGAACATGTATTAAGTGAAGGGTCAACGCACTAACGAGGGGCGTTATCACCTGTTTTATATAAATATACAATGTTATTAATCTGAATTTTCATTTGAAGTCTAAACAACTAGAGTTTTTTAACTTCGATATGAACCTATAAATGATGGTTATACATCATTAAATAACAATGTTCTCTTTCTCGATTCATAAATTGTGGTTTTGAGAGTTGAAAATGATATTTTCAAAATCCATCAAATCGATGAATCACAAATTCACACCATAAAACCTAATATCCACTCAATTAACAAAAAATAAAAAAAATACTCTTAAGTAAATCATTTCATAATTTACTATTAATCATGTGACAATTTGGTAGAAAATAAGATTCTACGTGGCATAATATAATTAATGGTAAAAGAGGTTACGATGGTCTTCCTCACATTAGATTAGCCTTACATAAGACTCACTTCTACTTTTTCCACAAAGAGTTGAAACCCTGGATCTTCGGTTCACCACTTGGACTTGAAAGCTCTCCGCCTTGTCGCCGGTCACTGATCTTGCCGGCGCATTATTGCCGTCTGGCCTTTATTCTCTTCATTTAGTAATTTACTTTAGTATTTCACTAATTTTATGTCATTTCTGATCAAAATTTGAACTCGCAGGTTTAAGTTAAACTTAATTTGATAATTACATTATGCATTAAAGTAACAATTCTGATGGACTAGCATTTTGGAATGTTCATAGATGGATATTTGATTTGAAAGTTTCCGATAATTAAAAACATAATAATAATTCTGAATTGGACTAGCATTTTATTCTAAGTTTCTGGTCTTATCTCGAGTTTGTAATTGATTTCTATAAGATTCATTGTTCAGATATTTGCTTTTACTTTTTGGAGTTTGATAATGATTTTCAAAGTGATTGATTTTTGGTTTTCTGGCGTGCCATTTCATCCAATCTAGCCATGTTTGAGTTTACATGTAAGGTTTTGTTCATGTTTGCTGATTGAAAGATTAATAGCTGAATTGAAAAGAGAACTAAAGCAGTGAACGAATTAAGAGAGAAAAGAAAAGAAAAATTTGTTTCAAGTGTTCTGTTATTGAAAAATTGGTAAAGCAGATAAGTTACAGACGACTTTATATAGTCTGTTACAACTTTTGTTTCTTTACAAAAACAACCCTACTCAACTTCTAATCTTTGCAGAAACAACCCTGCTTCTTATACTTATTCCAATATCTTCCCGTAAACCAAAGCCCATAAACTGATTAAGTTAATCTATCTTGATCAATATCTTCTCGTAAGCCAAAGCCCCTAAACTGACTTTATTACTCTTTCTTAATCAATATCATTCATCACAAACAACAATAAATTTTTGCAAAATTCCACTGCATTCCACTTGTATCACAAAACAGATTTCATTCCACTGCATCACAAAATAGTAGATTTCATTCCACTGCATCATAAAACAGCTTTCATTCCACTGCATTTCACTGCATCACAAAACAGATTTCCTATTGCAGAGACTCCAAACCATATCTCCTTACTGCAAAATCTTACAGCTTCACAAACAACAAACCAAGTTTCTATAAACTGAAAAAAAAATAAAAAATTCCACTGCATCACAAACAACAAACAAACTGAAAAATTCCACTGCATCACAAACAACAAACAAACTGCAACATTCCATTGCAAAATCCCACAGCATCACAAACAACAACCAAACTATAACACTCCACTGCAACACAAACAACAACCAAGCTGCAACATTCCACTGCAACATTCCATTGCAAAATCCCACATCATCACAAACAACAACCAAGCTGCAACATTCCACTGTAACACAAACAACAACCAAGCTGCAACATTCCACTGCAACATTCCATTGCAAAATTCCATAGCATCACAAACAACAACCAACCTACAACATTTTCACTGCATCACAAAACAGATTTCCTGTTGCAGAGACTTCAAACCATATTTACTGCTGCAAATTCTTACTGCATCACAAACAAAAATTTCTGCACAAAATCCTACTACATTACAAACTATATCTCCTAACTACTCTCCTAACTATTGTGAATACTGGTTGCAAGCTCAGATGTGACAGTTAGCTTCTCCCTTAGCATAGCAAACCGTAAACAAGGAAGGACTTTAGTTAGGATATCAGCTATCTGATATTCAGATGAAACATACTGCACATTTAACAACCTTTTTGTAACTAATTCCCTAACAAAATGTACATCAATTTTGATGTGCTTTGTTCGGGCATGAAACACCGGATTTGAGGATAATGCCCCAGCACTCATGTTATCACATCATATGATGGGAGTGTTGTTTATATGAATGCCAAGTTCCTTGAATAAGTTCTGAATCCAAACAAGTTCAGTGGCTGTTTGACTAAGAGATCGGTATTCAGCTTTTGTAGAAGATAAGGACACTACCTTCTGTTTTCTAGATGACCATTGGACCAAGTTACCTCCAAAAAATACATTGTACCCACTGGTGGATCTCCTATCAATTTCATCTCTAGCCCAATCAGCATCTGAAAATGCTTCTAAAGTAAAGGGCTGTTTCTTGGTAAAAAGAATACCATGCTGCAATGTTCCCTTGACATATCTAAGGATTTTTTTACATGCTGTCCAGTGAGCTTCAATGGGCTGCTGCAAAAATTGACTGAGCTTATTGACAACAAAAGCTAAGTCTGGCCGAGATAGTGTCAGATATTGAAGTCCACCAATGACACTTCTATACAGTGTAGGTTGTTCAAACACCTTACTATCCTCCTTGCCAAGTCGAAGACCAGTAGCCATGGGAGTGGAACAAGGCTTCGAATCTGCCATTCCTGCCTTAAGGAGAAGATCATGTGCATATTTGGTCTGGGACAGCAGTAAACCAAAATCATTTCTCTTTACCTCAAACCCCAGGAAGTACTGCACTGTTCCAAGAGTTTTGAGAGCAAATTTGCTATTCAAGTTAGCAACTAAGCTTGATATGAGCTTAGAATCATTCCCTATTACGAGGATATCATCTACATACACTAACAAATACATTAATTTGAAATCCTTTTTGTAAAAAAATAAACTCACATCTGAAACAGAATTTTCAAAACCCCAACTGATCAAGGCAGATTTGAGTTTATCAAACCAAGTTCTAGGAGCTTGTTTTAGACCATACAAGGCTTTACAAAGTTTGCAAACCTGCTCAGGATGACCCTTGGCTGCTGCAGTACCAGAATATCCTTCAAGAGGAAGCATAAAGACAGTTTCAATTAATTCCCCATTCAGGAACGCATTATTAACATCCAACTATTGGATTTCCCAATTTTGGTGCACTGCATAGGATAACATGACTCTGATTGTGGCTGCTTTAACAACCAGAGAAAATATGTCGAAATAATCTAAATCGGGTGTTTATTGAAAGCCTTTAGCCACCAACCTGGCCTTATACCTTTGAAGTGTCCCATCAGAGTTTAATTTTGTTCTAAACACCCATTTGCATCCTACAATATTCATTCCCTCTTCATAAGGNAAATGCTCAAACTAAGTCAACAATATCTATTATTATGAATTCACTCAACTAGATTTCTACCCATTTATAATAATAGATATTGTTGAGTTAGTTTGAGCATTTTTAAGATTGATAAGGATATGAATGATGGGATTGGGTGAATTCTCTGGCTGTTAATGGAAACTTGTTTATTTAGCTGAAAGAATTGACCTTGAAGTTGATTATTATTATGAGATGTTGCAATCATTAAATTGGTCATGATTTGCAGTGATAGCTAATTTGATCAAAATTAATGAAATGACTTCAATGGAATCCATCTCAGCAAGCGAAACAAATCACTAGACTCTGAAGTAGCCAAGTAGAATAATTAAGCAAGCGAAAGCAAAAGCCTTGCAAAAGAAGCCACACATATATCACAAGCTTCACAGTAAAATAAGACTCTCTATATTGCAAAATTTTGTTTATTTCTTTTTGTGGATTTGACATTTTTCCTTTTTGAGTTTTGATATTTATGGATTACCAACTTTGTTGATTTTTCATCAACTTTTCTTTAAGTTTCAATTGAATATAAAAGTGGAAACTCGTCATTTGGGCATCAATAATTTACTCTTTGATTTTTCCTACTTATTTTAATATAAAATAAAATTATATGTCTTAAAAACACGGAGGAAAATGCAAGATAGTAAACCATCAATTTAATTAATATTCTGTAAAATAAAATTTTAGCCAAATTCATGGTACTATGAATCTAAGAATGTCTATCTTTTAATAGATCTCTCACATGGCAGATTTCAGTTTAGATTTTAGAAAGATTAGGAGATACGTCGACATAAGAAAATGATTATTTTATATATGTAACTTACTGTTCATGAATTTTCTCAAAGAAAAGGAGGGGTAGAGTTGGTTAATTATACTTTATTATTATGCACCAAAAATAATGAGGAGAGATTGATTGTACACTTGGAGAAAGATTAAAGGAGATTGATTGTACATTTTGAATGGTTTCTGAAAGATTGAGAGAGAAGAAAACTGAAGATGAAGATATGGCAGTACAAATCAAAACTGAAAGATTATTTTAACCCTCTTTTATGTGAAATTGCAAAATATCATCCATTAAATTTTTACGAGTCTACTGATTGTCAATTGTCATCTCCGTGTTTTTGGTCTATTATTGTCGATCACACAATTATTTTTCAGAAAATGCCAAGTTTACGATATTTTTTTACAAATTTTTTCTCACAACTCAAACATAATAACTCGTTATTAGTTAACTCGCAAATAAATATGTAAGATCCATACAAGCAGACGAGACTCATTTTACAAACTGACCAATAACGAATTGTCATGTTAAAATTGTGAAAAGAGATTGTGGAGATAACATTACTCTTATTTTTTATTATCATAATTGTTTTTCAACTTTTCAGACGTTAGTGGGAAACTAACTGATAGAGGGTATATCTGACTTTTCCGTACTAATCAAAACCTTATTTAAATTTTTTTAGTTATTAATTTGTATATAATTCCTTAAAGCAAATCTCACAAAATCAATTACTCAAAGAAACCAAAATATGAACAAAACATATAAAAGTCACGAAACAAGCGTCGTAGATAGGTTCATGTGAAATTCAATAGAAACTGAAGCCACGTAGCCAGTTACTGGAGCGGACTTGACAGGAGTCATATCTCCGTTAGCCACCAGGGATGTTATAGAGCTTTGAAATAGTTTTTGTGGAGCTGTTAAATGGTTTAAAATCGTTTGGCTAAATCAAATTATTAATTACAGTTTGATTTATAAACCATAGTGCTGCTTTCCAACTGGAGTGATAAGATGTTGCTTAGATTTATCAAAATGGGAAGAAGAGGATGATCATTGAATTAATTAGGTGAAACAGAAATCCTGAATAAATCTTCAATTTTTAAAATTATAATAATAATACAATAAATATTAAAAATGTAAAATTTGTAACATGTATAACCTTTGTTTTCGTATACCAAACGCGTTTCATATAAAGTTTTCAAGTAAATATTCTTATATTTGACCAAAAAATTTCAACCAAATTTATGATATTTTATGAATCTATGAATACCCATCTTTTAGTGGATCCTTCATCCTAAATTTTGGTTTAGACTTTAGAAAGACTTAGGTCTTAGAGACGTCTCTACAAAGGAAATGGTTGTTCTTTCTGTATATTTAGCTAGTTGCATTAAACGTTGATGATTTTTTCTCAAAGAAATGGAGGGGTAGACTCTAGAGTTAATTAAATATACTTCATTATGCACCAAAAAATGTGAGAAGATGAAGAAGGCATTACTGATTTGCAACTGGAGTGAGATGTGATGTGAGGGTGCACATCCTTGACCAGAAGAGACTATTATGACAAGACGTTGTTCAGACACATCAAAATGGGAAAGTGAAGAAGACTTAAGCCCTAAGTCATCCAATTCCGTTTACTTGTAATTTAAAAGGCCGAACGATATACCCAAGGTTTGTCAAAACGATAAATTGGTATCTAAAAGGTTTTGAAACAATAAATAGGTACCTTCCGTCATGTTCTGTTAGTGATTTTCATTTGATAATAGTGAAAAGATTAAAATGCCCTTAAAAGTTTAATATTTTAGATTTTTATAAATTTAAAAATTTCTAAAAAACCCCGTAGGTTTGCTAATTTGACTAAATACCCCAATATATAAAAATTTTATAAAATAACAAAAACACCCCCGCCACCCGCAGTGCCAGATTCCGGCCACCACCGCCGAAATCTGGCTGGAAAATTGCGTTACGACACAGACCCATCGGATCTGTGTCGTAACGCGTAGATCTTTCATTTTCCGGCAAGATTTGTGGCTGATCTGGTTGGAAAATGTCAGATCTACGGCCAGATCTGGCCGTCGAGACCGGAAACTTGCCGGAAAATTGTGTTACGACACAGACCCATCAGATCTGTGTCGTAACACGTCAATCTGGCAGTCGAGGCCGGAAAAGGCCAGATCGGTGTGTTACGACACAGATCCGACGGGTCTGTGTAGTAACACAATTTTCCGACCAGATTCTGGCGGTGGTGGCCGGAATCTGACATTGTGGGTGGTGGGGGTGTATTTGTTATTTTATAAAATTTTATATATTGGGGTATTTAGTCAAATTAGCAAACCTAGGGGGTTTTTTAGAAATTTTTAAATTTATAAAAAACTAAAAATTAAACTTTCAAGGGCATTTGAGTCTTTTCACTATTATCTAACGAAAATCACTAACAGAACATGACGGAAGGTACCCATTTGTCGTTTCAAAACCTTTTAGGTACCAACTTATCGTTTCGACAAACGTTGGGTATGTATAAGTCGTTCTCCCTAATTTAAAATTATGATTTTATTCTAACTTTCATATTATATTTTAATTTGTTTTTGTTATTTCCAATTTTTGAACCCGGCACTTGTAAATATTCAATTCAAAACTATAACCAAATATATATTAATAACATTTTATATAAATTATTATACAAACATAAAAAATTAAAATTAAAAGAAAAATAAAAATATCAATCATACGTATAACTTAATTTAGATAAGGTATTGCACTACTAATAAATCAGTTTCAATTTTATTTGGGGGCAAAAAAATTTATCATATTTAATTAGAGTGAGGCAAAATAGAATTTTTATAAAAATTTAAAATTGGATAACCTTTGGACTTAACGGTGGTTTCTTACTGTTTCTCACCAAAAAATGTAGTAAGTTTGATTGTTAACAAAAAGTGAGGGATAGTTTAGTCAATATAGAACTATTTATTTTCTTATACTAATCAAAGATTCTAACTCTTATAGGATTGATGATCAATCTGTTGTCTTTTGTCTACTCATTTTTATCTTTGAAAAGTCTATAAAATTATTGTGATAGAATTCACAAATCCACTTTCATTACTCATAAATCACAATATGAATTGAAAAATATTTTGTGTTGGTGTCAAATGTTGTGCTAATTCTTTCACATACATAAATATTTCATCATATCCTATTAAAAATTGCATATAACAGGAAAACCAATTTAGACCCTCCCAAATCCCAATGCCAACTTCTAGGTGTTTGTGTCTACCATAAGACTGGAAATTGTAGAGAATAAATTGATAACAGTTGAAACTCTTCATTTATGCTCAACACTAATTGTATTCGCATGGAAAATTAGACCCATTTACACCAACTTCTACTATATATTAGTTTCATCGTACTGTAGCTGATAAAAAGACTTCTGTAGTGTGAGTTAATGGTCAAAAGTTCTAGAGCTTAAATGTTTCTATTTTCTTTTTCTTTTTTTCTTCGGTCTAATTTCACTTTAAGAAAATTTAACAAATAAAGTTGAAAGGGAGAGAACCATTTTTGTTACTATAGATTAGTTGAAAAAGAGTCTATCAAATACTAAATGAAGATTCCAGCTCAACATTTTTTCCTGCTAGAGCTTGAAGCTAAAATCTGTCAAGATCTCAGCACCTGGAGATAGGCTCCTTCAAGAGTGAAGATCAACAATGTAAGATACAACAACATTCGCGGCACTTCCTCCTCCGAGGTTGCAGTTAATCTAATGTGTAGCAAAGAGAACCCATGCCAAAATGTAGAGATTGGCGATATCAACATGGTTTACAACGGCGGTAATGAAGGTCGAGCGACATCTCCTTGTTCAAACGTTGAAGCAATCCTTAGAGGAAACCATAACCCAACCACATGTACTTAATAATCATTCATACGATAATTGTCGAATGT